AAAGAAAGAAAGAAAGAAAGAAAGAAAGAAAGAAAGAAAGAAAGAAATCTTCAAAAGAAAGGCAATCTTTATCTGGATAGCTATAGACTTAAATAATTAAGAATTGAATGAAAAAAAATCAGTGAGAATGATTAGATCTGCTAAGTCTAGAAATGAATCTGATAAATTTTAAATGAAGATCATACAGTTAAATATTAAAACCTCAGAATACTAAAACTATAATATAGGACATTAACAGCATAAAAATTCATTAATATAATTATTCAATAAAATATTACCTTAAGAAAACAAATTCCTCTCTAGTATTATCTACTAAGAAAATATCCAAAATTTCATTCAGTAGGATTGAGGGGACACATTTTTTTAATTTATTTATTCACTTTACATCCTGATCACAGTCAGTCTCCTCCTCCTCCCAGTCCCCCCCACAAGCAAAGCCTAAAAAAGAGAATCTCTCTCTTTCCCACCCTCTCTCTCTCTCCCTCCACCAACATCAAAGATAGCAGGAAGTAACAAGCATTGGTCATTAATATCTCTCAATATCAATGGACTCAATTCCCCAATAAAAAGACACAGACTAACAGAATGGATGTGGGAAAAGAATCCATTATTCTGCTGCATACAAGAAACACACCTCAGCAACAAAGATATTACCTCACAGTAAAGGGCTGGAAAACAGTTTTTCAAGCAAACAGACTCAAGAAGTGAGCTGAGTAGCCATTCTAATATCTAATAAAATAGAATTTCAACCAAAATTATATCAAAAGAAATGAGGAAAGACACTTCATGCTAATCAAAAGAAAAAATCCACAGATAACATCTTAATTCTGAGCGTCTCTGATCCCAAGACAAGGGCACCCACATTTGTAAGGCAAAAGACACTGCCAATGGTACAAAATGGCAGCCTACAGAACGAGAAAAGATGTTCACCAACTCTACATCTGACAGAGAGCTAATATTCAAAATATATAAAGAACTCAAAACATTAAATACCAAATAACCCAATTTAAAAATGGGGTACAGAGTTAAACAGAGAATTCTCAATAGAGGAATCTCTAATGGCTGAGAAGCCCTTAAAGAAATGTTCAACGTCCTTAGTCATCAGAGAAATGCAAATCAAAACGTTTCTGAGATTCCATCTTATACCCCTCAGAATGACTAAGATCAAAAGCTGAAGGGACAGCACACGCTGGTGAGGATGTAGAGCAACAGAAACCCTCCTCCGTTGCTGGCGGGAGTATGAGTACAATCACTTTGGAAATCAATCTGTGCTTTCTCAGAAAACTCTGACTAGTTCTACCTCAAGACCCAGCTATACCACTCCTGGTCATATAACCAAAATATGCTCCGCCATACAGCAAGGACACTTTTCAGCTATGTTCATAGCAGCTCTATTTGGAATAGCCAGAAACTAGAGACAAGCTAGATGTTCCTCAATCAAAGAATGGATAAAGAAACTGTGGTACACTTACACGATGGAATACTGCTCAGCTATTAAAAACAAAGGCATCATGCAAATTGCAGGCAAATGGATAGAACTAGAAAAGAGGGAACACATTTGCAACACTTTTCTTACTTTAACCTTACAGTCTGTACTTCCTTTTGCACCTGTCCCCAAGATTGTTACTTATACATATAATTAACTATTAATAAAACTGACACATTGGCACGCTGACTAGATGCAGCAACTGGATATGATGGCACAGAATTGTAACTGTATAAAACAGATCTGATAGAACCAAATGGGCAGAGGTTGTTCATGACCTTCCACAAAATGTATTTAAATATTAGTAACATAATATTTATGAGCTGAGGGTATAGAAGATTCCACATTCAAGAGAACAATTAATTTTAAACATGCTAGAGCTGAAGAGATGGCTCAGTGGTTAAGCATTTACTTGTCATCCAGGACCTGAATTTGCTTCTTTGCACGAACATTGAGCCATTCATCTTAGGCCTGTAACTCCAGCTCCAGGGAATCCGATTTCCTCCTCTGGCTATCTCAGGCACCCCCAAACATACCTGTGCCCTCTGCCACACACCTTTCTCTCTACACTGCATGAAGGCTTTTCTCTCTCTCTCTGTCTCTCTCTCCACATACACACATACACACACACACAAGTGACACATTTTTATATATACCTAACTCCCTTGGGAAATACAGGCTATAGTAGGTTATCTCTTTTGAAACTCATGTCTATGCAGAAAACTGTGCTGTGGACACAGAAATGTTCTGCAGGCAATGATCAAATTAGATGAGGGTGGGATTGAGAGGAGATGAGGGAGGGGGCAACAGCCAGGATACAAACTGAATAAATTGTAACAAATGATAATAATAAGAAGAAAATTTCTCTTACAAAAAAATTAGAGTAGGGAGGTTTGTTAAGTCCTCACTTCTAGATTAGATTTAAAGTAGCTACAGATGGCTCTGAAAGTTTAAATAAAGTCAAGCAAAATAGAAACATCAACCCCTCAGTTGTACTTCTTAAATGTCAAGTCTTCAATGGCCCCAGTGACCAGCAGAGATGAAGAGAACATTTACACATGCAATCCAGCTGTGGAGACTAACCATAGGGCAGCCAAAATCCGTCATCAAAGCTTCCTCCTGGAGATGAAGGAGTCATGTCACACTCCGGAGGTGCAAAGCCAGGTTCACATTGACAGTTGTCTAGCATGTTGCAAATCTAAAACCAAATCCAAATGAAAACTGAGCATCCAAAGTGTTCATGTCTGTGCAAATGTAAGATTTATTCATTCTTCATAATTAGGGATGTGAATCATAAAAATATTTTGTTTAAGTAGTTTTAATATGAAAGTAATTGTCCAATTAATGTGCTTGCTTATCTTTTTGCCAGTGAAAGTTCTAAATAGAAGTTATAATTTCTTGGGATAATAGAAATGACTTGTTAGAAAGACATAGCAACTATGAAGTTAGAAAATACAAAGTAGTAATCACAATTTTTTATTAACTTCTACTAAAAAAAAATTTTTAAAGTTGTGATGTGAGAAAATGTAGGAGCTGGTGGGCCAGAAGCAAATAATAACACTCATACAGAAAGCTAGAACATGTTTGCAAAAATGAAAAATAAAAAGATCAGGAGCACAGGAAGGACTTCAGAGTCAGCCCCTCAGGAAAAAAAAAAAAAAAAAAAAATGAGTTCAACCAGCTGAATTCCTACTCGGTTGCTATGCCAAGCATGGGCTGCGAAGAAGATGCTGATGATTTATTTTAAGCAAATACATGCAGAGAAAGTTTCCAAACTTCCATAACTCAGCACGTAATTTCACAAAAGCTGGGCAGGTTGCAGTGCCAGGGGCAGGGATGACAGGCAGCATTAAGAATGGAAACAATACTAAGTATGTGCCGTTAACAATGCATCCTGCGTGCTGGAAGAGATTAAACAGTCTCACCAGAATATGAGGGAATGCAAGTTTTCAGGCATTCTGTGTGGGTACAAAACGCCTCAGAAATGTCTATATTCGGCGTGTTAGATTTCATTGCTTAAAATTTGGGAAAATAGAGTGATTTGAATGTACAATGAAGCCTGTTTTTATTCTTTTCACAATTCCTACTTGAAAGGCCATCGGTGTGTAAATGCATGAGCGCAGCAGAGAAGACACACAAGAGGAAATGAACTGAGGGTGTCAAAGGACAAACGTAATCTGAGGAGATGGCACACTTGGATTTCTTGAACGTCAGATGAGGAGTGACGTGTATTTTACATCTATGCTCCCAGAAAGCGCACACGTGCGTCGGTGCCGCGCGTGGGCTCGGTGCTTGACAACGCACCGCCGCACCCTCAGAGTCAAACACTGCACTACGATTTCACACTACGGTTTGGTGTGTCATTCAAATGTCATTTGCCCAGCTGGCCTCTACCGGTCAGATAGTGCATACAAACTCTGCACACCTGTGGAAACGGTACAGTCCACGTGCCTGGGTTAACTGAAGTTTTCTGAAGGGAAATTTCCACATCAGACGGTTCTGGGCCTGATTATCCTGGTAAAGATTTACGTAAAGGAGCATATTGAATGCAAAATAAAATGGCTGCATACCCCGTGTCCTTGGCATTTATTGTCGTAATGACAAGTCCTTTTTCCTCTAACGGCATGAACATGTAAGCATTTCCCGTTGATACAGGCCTAAAAAAACATATTGAAGATAAGAATGCTGAAGTAAGCAACCGCAGAAACTTTAAATACACGGTCTGTTCTGTGGGCATCCCCAGCAAAGGGCCCTCAGGGCTCCCGCCCTGGCATGGCTTCTGCTGCTGTGAGGGGGAGGGTGCGTGGCCTGGCGTTGAGGAGCCTGCCCAGAGACCAACAACCAATGGTAGGCTCAGAGATGGTGTGGGGAGCCGGGTTGGCTGCCCAAAGCTACATAACGTGCTCTCTCTTCCTGGAATAAACGAGTCTGCATCCGCTGGCCCTCCGATTGCATTCACCCTACTGCTGGTGTCCGTGTAGTCATTCCGAGCCTCTCACACCCTCAGCCTGGACCTCCTGTCCTCCCTTAGGGGCTGGACCCTTGGGAGGAGGATCAACACTAGCTGAAGAATTATATTTGCTATAAAGACCTCCCCTATCAGTGGACTGGGGGAGGGGCATGGGAGCAGAAGAGGAAGGGAGGGAGGGATTGGGAGGGGACACGGAGGGAGCTACAACTGGGATACAAAGTGAATAAATTGTAATAAATGAAAAAAAAGTGGCAAAGTAATTTAAAAAGTATGTAAGTGGACAGTATGTGTTTAATAGGCATAATGTCTAGTCATTCTAATGAAAGAAGGGCATGTCAGCATTCTTCATACGGTTTGCATTTTGAAAATAAGATGCAGTTGTTTGTTTGTTTTTCTTAAAGCAATGGAGCTATCTACACAATGCTGAATTGGCACGAGAACAAAGACAGCTGGCCTGTGCCAACAGCAGAGCTCACTGCTCACGTCTTCCCCACTGATAAAAGATACTATCTCACTTCAGCAATGTGTCCTGGAGGGAGCAGGAATCCCTCTATGGGTCAGTTTACATCATCTCTGAATTCAGGACTGTATAAGCTTACCTAACATATCAGGAGGCTGCAATAGCTTCTTGTAACACAGATGAACAACATTAGCATTTTCTGTGTAGTAAATAGCTGATATTAATGTGAACTCAGCACGAATGTCAACTTCCCTCTACCCAAAGTCAAATGATCTGAATGTCTTTTGATGCATTTTCTAAGACGAGCTGCTAACTTTTCTCAAATGAGCTGAAGGAATATTTTATGTGGGGATGAACGGTCTTTGCTAGTGAGATAAACTGAGGCACAATTAAATGAAAAGTTTAACATAAGTAACGGGTGAAATTTGTGACCCATGAAACTCTACACCAGAAGAGATTCAGAAGGCATATCGAAGAAAAACAGAGGGAAGCTTTTATAAGTGGACACAGAAGGAAGGAAAAAGAAATACTGGCTTTGATAGGCTGAAGGTCTCTAGTTCCATTATTTGTTTTATGCTTTAGGATGTCCTTATTCAGTTACGCAAGTTAGCTCACTGCTTCTGCTTGCTTCAGCTTAAATTTCCATCATAGGCACTAATTTAAAAAGAATTATATTATATTATAAAATTGTTTTGCTTATCTTTGCAAATCAAACAAGCTTAATATCACTTAGAAGCCTTAAGTGGCTTTGTAATCATGGGGATTCTTTTCTTTTTAATTTAGAAATATATTTATTTTGCCTCTTAAGTGCAAACCCCTTCTTCCTTTCCTCCTGGTCCTTCCCTCCTTCCTCCTCTTCCCATACTTCATATTTATAGTAATTGTTTCCAGTTTTTAAAGCTGCTTTTGTACCAGAAAGCTCTTCTGTGATTATTTGTTTCCTTTTTTTTTTTTAACATTTTCTCTTTTAAGTTTATTACTAATTTACACTTTTCTCTTGGTTTTTCATTTCTTAAAACACTTTAAATATGCATACACAAACTGGCATAATGAAGTTCATTACTTCATAAAATTAATGTGCTAAAACATTTTTAAAGTAATCTGTAAGCATCTACTTTTATTAAAATGCCTGATAATTGTGCATTTTTGTCATTACAAAATGACAAAATTCTTAGCTTTATGGCAATGTCCAGATGTTATGTATGGGATGATTCACTGGGGATGACAGCAGACTGGGTAAAAGAGGACATTTGGGGTTGTTCTGATGCTGGCCCTCAAGATCTGCTTACACCCATCCTTGTGTGTAAGCCTGCCTAAGACATTATACCTGATTGGTTGATGAAAGGCCTATGCCTGGGCAGAGCAGAATGGGGTAGGCATGGCTAAGGTTCCCAGGCTTTGAGGACAGGAGAAATCATGAGAAAGGGACAGATGGGAAGAGAGGAGGAAGGAGGATGCCATGATGGGTTAGCATGGAGAAGGAATCATGTGGGCTGAGAGGAAGGATCCCAAGGATGGCATGGATGGAGAAAACACCAAGATGAAAAATATAAGCAAGTATATTGGTATTAAGGATGGAAGGTAGACCAGATGAGGATGATGAAGGCAGATGGCATTGGATGGGGGCTGGGAGATGGTTGGTGAGGTTATTGAGATAGCATAGGTAGAAAGATCTGCCCAGCCCAAAGTAAATAAGGCAATTATAAAATCTAACAGGTTGTCTGTGTGTTATTATTTATGAAGGTAGGTTAAATAATACCACCACAATAATTATGGGGCTAATATAATAAACTTTACATAGTCCAACACTCATTCTTATCTATCACAACAGAGGACTTGTTGAAATACATTGCAGTAGGTTTAAAGGGCAAGCCCCAGCATGCGTACACGCAATGCAGTTGAGGACAGCAGGAAGAAGGCTGCAGACTTCTTAATGGTTTTTCTGTGTGAAAGCTTAGTTTACTTACCAGTTTTTTTTTTTTTTTTTTTTTTTAAGCAGCTTCAGCCAAAATGCCTATACTTTTGCTTTAAGACATTACAACTACCTATATGAATCTTTTACTAGGCTTTTTGGAATTTTCATCCAAAAAAAATGAAATTTAAACCTTACGTTTATGATGCCAAAACCATACAATGGAAAAAAGACAGCATCTTCAACAAATGGTGCTGGTCCAACTGGATGTCTACATGTAGAAAAATGAAAATAGATCCATACTTATCACCCTGCACAAAACTGAAGTCCAAGTGGATCAAAGACCTCAAAATAAAACCAGACACATTAAATCGGCTAGAAAAAAAAGTGGGGAATACCCTAGAACTCATTGGTACAGGAGAAAACTTCCTGAACAGAACACCAACAGCACAGGCTCTAAGAGCAACAATCAATAAATGGGACCTCATGAAATTGAAAAGCTTCTGTAAAGCAAAGGACACCGTCATCAAAACAAAGCGACTGCCTACAGATTGGGAAAGAATCATCACCAACTCTTTATCTGACAGAGGACTCCTATCCAATATATATAAAGAACTAAACAAGCTGAAAAGCAATAAACTAAGTAATCCACTTAAAAAATGGGGAACAGAGCTAAAGAGAGAATTCTCAGTAGAGGAATATTGAATGGCAGAGAAGCACTTAAAGAAATGCTCAACCTCATTAGCCATTAGGTAAATGCAAATCAAAACAACCCTGAGATTTCACCTTACACCCATCAGAATGGCCAATATGAAAAACTCAAGGGACAAACACATGCTGGAGAGGTTGTGGAGAAAGGGGAACCCTTCTCCACTGCTGGTGGGAATGTAAACTGGTACAACCACTCTGGAAATCAATCTGGCGCTTTCTCAGACAACTAGGAATAGCGCTTCCTCAAGATCCAGCCATACCACTCCTAGGCATATACCCAAAAGAGGCTCAAGTACACAAAAAGGACATTTGCTCAACCATGTTTGTAGCAGCTTTATTTGTAATAGCCAGAAGCTGGAAACAGCCCAGATGCCCCTCAACTGAAGAATGGATGCAGAAACTGTGGTACATCTATACAATGGAGTATTACTCAGCAATGAAAAATAAGGAAATCATGAAATTTGCAGGTAAATGGTGGGACCTGGAAAGGATCATCCTGAGTGAGTTGTCCCAGAAGCAAAAAGACACGCATGGTATATACTCACTCATATAAACATACAACATAGGATAAACCCACTAAAATCTGTACATCTAAACAAACTAAGCAAAAGAGAGGACCCTAACTAAAATGTTCAATCCCCATCCTGAAAGGCAAAGAGGATGGACATCAGAAGAAAAAGAAAATAGGAAACAACCTCGGAACCTGCTACAGAGGGCCTCTGAAAGCCAGAAGAAAACAGGAAACAACCTTGAAACCTGCCACAGAGGGCCTCTGAAAGCTTCTGCAGTATAGACTGTCAAAGCAGATGCTGAGCCTGAAGGCCAATTGATGGGCAGAGTGAATGGAATTTTATGTAAGAAGTGGGAAATAGCAAGAGCTGGAGGGGACGGGAACTCCACAAGGAGAGCAACAGAACAAGATAATTTGAACACAGGGAACTTCCCAGAGACTCATACTCCAACCAAGGACTATTTGTGGAGATGACCTGGAACCCCTGCACAGGTGTAGCCCATGGCAGTTCAGTGTCCAAGTGGGTTACATAGTAATGGGAAGAGGGACTGCCTCTGACATAATCTGATTGGCCTGCTCGTTGATCACTTCCCCCTGAGGGGGGAGCAGCCTTATCAGGCCACAGTAGAGGACAATGCAGCCACTTTTGATGAGAACTGATAGACTAAGATCAGAAAGAAGAGGAGAACCTCCCCTATCAGTGGACTTGGGGAGTGGCATGCATGCAGAAAGGGGAGGGAGGGTGGGATCGGGAGGGGAGGAGGGAGGGGCTTATGGGGGGGGATACAAAATGAATAAAGTGTAATTAATAAAAAATTTAAAAAAATAAAAAAAATTAAATTTAAACCTTATGTTTTATGATTGTATCTTATAGAAGGGAAATTGTCTTTAGAACAATATTGTGTTTTAGAGTATTAGGGGATTATTTAAAAAATGCATGATTTACTTAAGTAATAATAAAATCATAAATTCTCTTTGTTAATTAACGCATGGCTACACACTTGGCTCTTTCATTTCTCTTTAAAATTTTTCACATTATTCTGGCAACCTGACATTTTATTGGGATTTTTTTTTTTTACTATGGTTTTTGACCCTTTTTGTAGTTTATATAATTGCAGACCAGATCTTACCCTGAGAAGAAACTTTAGTTTCCCAAGTGTGAGAAGACAAGTTTAAGTATCAATAACGGAATTCCTAAGGGGGGGGGGAGCTTCTTGGACCAACGGCAACTCTGATTTCCTTTTTAAAGATTACCAGTTAGCACAAAAGCAAATGGATATTGTTATGCTATTCTCATAGTTACATGCCATCATGCTCTGTTATTGTGGTGCGGCGAGAGAAGTTGTGAGCACACTCATGTACATGCATGTTCCAGAGTGTAGGCATTCATAAATCCACTATAAACACATCGTGCACGAACATCAGCAAAGGTGAGTTTACCTGGCCTGGACCACAAATGGTACCGTCGTTAACATAGGTCTCATCTCTGTCTCCAGGTTCCCTTAAGTGTGCAGACAAGCACACCTGGTCTGACAGGTAAGTATACTGGACATCAAATTTTTCGGTTTCTAAGATTTCTGCAAAGTTCCAGTAACAAACCAGTTTTCCACAAAATACATCACTGGCAAGAAAAGGCAGAAAAGTTATACGTTGTCACTTAGCTGTCTGATTCCTGAGTCCCACGATGATTCAATATATAAGGTTAGTTCACAACCTTAAGGCAGACCGTAATAGCAATAGGTTGAGAACACAGACCTATCATGACATGCAGCACCTGATCTGCCTGTAAGCAGCTGGCATATCTCTGTGGGCCACACGCTCCACCCACGGAAAAATGTACAATCTGATGACTACGAACCTAAAGTTGCAGCGTCCATGACAGTTTCCAAACTTGTCATTTTGCATATTTACTTCTTGTGCACACAAATAATTAGGACCCTTAGCATCTGGAAGAAAAAAAAAAAAGAATTTCAGGTGTCTCATGCTAAAAGTAAAAGAGCAATTTTACAACACTTAAAACTGTAGGACGTTTGTACTGAGACAATTGGTGTCTTGTAGTATGAATGGGGCAAGACTGAACCAAAAAACTACTCAGAAAAAAAAAAACTGTGTCAAGGAAAACTGTTGAAAAAGTCACTCTCTCTCTCTAAAGCCATCCTCCAGTCTCCTACTCTTCTCCCGCCAATGGCCTCCACCTTGACTCCTATCCTATATGGCTGTGATGTCATAGTCTTTTCCTTTGTGACAGGGAATGGATTTGCTTTGATTTTATTTTCAAATGTGTGTAAAGATCCATATTTTATACTAAGGCTACAGGACAGATTTTGAAAATAATGGTAATTTTAAAAATAACCCTGACCCCCACCCCCACCCCCCAAAAGACACAACCCTCACATTTTCCGAACAAATTCGAGCATTGCCTATCCAGGTCTTGGCAGACCCCGTTGTAGCAGTAGGCGGTTCTGTTGCTGCAGGGCTCAAGGTTTGCAGCTATTATGTCAGGCACACAGTATTCAGAGGATCCGTTGCAGAACTCTGCGAAATCACACAGGTCGGTACCCCTCCTACACAGGCGTCCCCTCTCGGCTATCTGTGAGACAAAGAACACGCCGGCTTTGGTCAGGGCCACTCGGGTTTTTCTCTTTCTGGCAGTTAGGCAAGAGAGATTTTTCTCTACTCCTTTAAAAGACTATGCAATATGGACTAAAATCGGTTTCAAAAAAAAAAAAAAAAGAAAAAGAAAAAAGATACAGTGAGCTGTTGCTACAACACAGGGACAAAGCTTGTTTAAGAACTGTCTAAAATAAAAAGCAAAAAGCAAACAAAAAAGACTTCCAAAGGATACATAGACCAACCCCCACAAGATGCCACTCTTCTGCTACAGGAATTCATTATCTTTTCTTGTCTATACACCATGAAACATAATTATAATATGGCGCCAGTTGCTTCCCATGTGCCCTGACAGAGCGTCTAAGTGTTGGTTACAAACTTCTTTATTACTAGAAGCTGTGGGTAAAGCAACTGGTCCTGCTGGTGTTCGTCCTAGCTTTGCACTTGGAGTTGTGTCTAAACTGAAACCATTAAGGAAAATGCTTGGATCAAATCTCTCAGTTTTGCACAAGGTCTGATGAAAGCTTGACTATTTGCAAGAATGCAAAGAAGAGAATGGGGCCTCCACACTCAGGGCAGATAAAGATAAGAAGAAAACGCATGGTACCTAAAAGCAAAGCCCTGCTTCTGGTCAAAACATATCTGGCAAAATAAGCATGCATTCATATAACCCAGTTAGTTGCTCTCCACCACGTTCTTCCTAATGACTAACACTGAGAATTTTCACTCTGGAATGATGAGCTGTATGGAAGAGCCCAACTTTGAGATAAAAGTTAAGACAGAGGTTCTGGCAGGAGCTAGGAGGGCCTCTCCACTCAGGCGCCTTGAAATAAACCTTTGGCTCTAACCATCAATTCTCGGAGCAGAAGACAGTGGACCAGAGCCCCACCTTTGTGTCTACTACATACTGTTGGGTTCATCAACACTGATCTCATTTTTTTTACGGTTTTCAGAATGAAATTTGCTATTGCTTGTTTGTCAAACAAACCTTGTTCTCATTTTGTTGTATGTCATTTATTTGATCAGAAAGAACCACATTCAGACATGACTAAGAAAAATTCCTAGCACAACAGTTTTGAACAGCACAGCTGGAGGTATCTTTGGGACAGACTGAAACATGTGAAAGAAAGCAGCAGCTAGAAAGTTGACCCATGGGCTGAAATCAAGGACATATGGAAATTAGAAAATAGTCAAACTATCTACCCCGTGGATAAATGGCAGGTTTCCTCAAAAAAAACATTCTCCAAATGGCCATCTTCTAACTTTTAAGACTTGGGCCAAAAGAAAGCTCTCCAAAAGTGGCGACTGCATCTCACACGGACTTTCCTGCCAACTTTTTGATCACTTCCCCCTGGCAGGACCACCTTGCCAGGCCACAGGGGAAAGAGCACACTCTGATCCAACTTGATGAACTGCGGTGGACCTGAAGGGGGCCTCCCCTTTTCTGAGGAACAGGGGAGGAGAAGGGAGGAGAAGGGGAGAGAGAGGGAAGGAGAAAGGGAAGGATTGGGAGGTGAGGTGGGATGGGGTTACAACCAGGATGAAAAGTAAATAAAAATAAATTTAATAAAAAAAAAAAAACCAAGATATTAGCCCTCTGTCATATATAGGGTTGGTGAAGATCCTTTCCCAGTCTATAGACTGTTGTTTTGTTCTGATGACAGAGTCCTTAGCTTTACAGAAGCTTTTTAGTTTCATGAGGTCCCATTTATTGATTGTTGATCTTAGAGCCTGTGCTGTTGGTGTTCTGTTGAGGAAGTTGTCTCCTGCGCCAATGAGTTTAAGGTTCTTCTCCACTTTTCTGGTATATACTCACTTACAAGTAGATATTAGACATTTAATATAGGATAAACATACTAAAATCTGTACATCTAAAGAAGTTAAGCAAGAAGGAGGACCCTGGGTAAGATGATCAGTCCTTACTCAGAAAGGAAATGGTTTAGACATCAGAAGAGGGAAAAACAGGGAACAGGAGCCTACCACAGAGGGCCTCTGAAAGGCTCTACCCAGCAGGGTATCAAAGCAGATGCTGAGACTCATAACCAAATTTTGGACAGAATACAGGGAATCTTATGAAAAAAGGGGGAGATAGAATGATCTGGAGGGGACAGGAGCTCCACAAGGAGAGCAACAGGACCAAAAAAAAAAAAAAATCTGGGCTCAGGGGTCTTTTGTGAGACTGATACTCCAAACAAGGACCATGCATGGAGATAACCTAGAACTCCTGCACAGATGTAGCCCATGGCAGCTCAGTCTCCAAGTGGGTTCCCTACTAATGGGAACAGGGACCGTCTCTGACATGAACTCAGTGGCTAGCTCTTTGATCACCTCCCCCTTAAGAGCGGGGGTGGGGGGGGAGCATCTTTACCAGGCCACAGAGGAAGACAATGCAGCCAGTCCTGCCTGATGAGACCTGATAGGCTAAGGTCAGAGGTAAGGGGAGGAGGACCTCCCCTATCAGTGGACTTGGGAAGGGGTATGGGAAGAGATGAGGGAGGGTGGGTGGGATTAGGAGGGGATGAGGGAGGGGGCTACAGCTGGGATACAAAGTGAATAAACTGTAATTAATAAAAAAATAAATAAAAATTTGAAAAACAGGAAAGAAAGAAACAGACAAAAGAGAGAGAAAGAAGAAAGAAGAAAGAAGAAAGAAAGAAAGAAAGAAAGAAAGAAAGAAAGAAAGAAAGAAAGAAAGAAAGAA